TACAAGCAAATCTTATTATAAGCAGGACAGTTGTATAACTTATGAAAAGTTCCACATTTTCTACATGGTTTTGGATTATTGTACTTATTTCCTTGATAGTTTGAAGAAGATTTAGTACTTTGTTGCTTTTGTTTTACATGAAAGTCTTTCTTACAAGGCTGACTTTTTTCCTCTGAAGGTCGAAATTTATTACGTTTGATAGCTTCTATTTTATTTTCTTCAGTTAAAGTTTTCAGCTGAAGTTCTGCTAATTCAGAAGCTTTACACATTTCGTTTGCTTTCGGGTATGCAAAAATTTTTGAAAGCTTCAATTACTTTGTCAACATCCTTCTTATCTTCTTCACTTAAATTAAAAGTATTAAATTTTTCAAGTGCTTCTTCACCAATTATATGCAATAAAATAGCTACTTTAATTTCAGGTGATTTAGTAATACCACCAGACGCTAACATATAAATTTGGAATTTTTGTTTCCATTTCTTCCAATTTTCGCTTAAATTTCCTTCGAAACTTAGATTACTTGGTGGCTTTAATCCATCCATATTTAATTTAGGACTTTAAATATACGTATTTGTAGCCACTTCCAATAAAAATAAACAACTCACTTACCAGCGATATAAGTTTCGATTTCACAGTAAACAACTTCCCATGATGTTTTTGTTTAGAACATCTTTACCGAGGCTGCATGGTTCTTCAAAAAAGATTTTCTTTTTTAATCAACGACGGGCTGCGCCATGTGTTGTATTTTATGTGTGTTGGGTACGTGCTCAGTGATGATTACAAGATGTACACAAACATCATTTATTCTACATTGCTCATCTACTATTCTACAGTTATGGTTAAAGTTAGTAACAGATACAGTTATAGTTACATATATAACAGATGGGTGCCCCGACAATTGACCTCGACACACAAGGAACAACGCATGGGGGTCAGCCTGGAACATCTTGTGCGTTACCATGAAGATGGCAATGACTTTCTGTTTTGGATTGTGACGGGGGATGAAACGTGGGTCCACCATTTCACGTCAGAATCGAAGGCTGCATCTATGGAGTGGAAACATCCGTCATCACCTGTCCGAAAGAAGTTCAAGACAACTCCCTCTGCAGGTAAAGTGCTCCTCACAGTTTTCTGGGACGCCCAAGGAGTTTTGTTGCTGGACTTTTTGGAGGTTGGAACCATCAATGCTACGCGCTACTGTGACACCCTGTCGAAATTGAAAGAGGCGATTTGGAAAAAGCGGCTGGCGTTCTCACATCTGGCGTTCTGCTGTTGGATGACAATGTCAGACCACATTCGGCGACGGCAACGCAAAACTATATTGCAACTTTTGGTTGGGAGCGCCTACACCATCCGCCATACAGTCCTGATCTCGCACCAAGCGACTTCCATCTGTTTCCGGCTTTGAAGAAAAATCTCGGGTGAAGGCACTTTGGAAGCAATGCTGAAGTGAAACAAGCTGTTCAACGCTTCTTCCATATGCAAAGCCCTGATTGTTTCCTGGAGGGCTTTTTGAAGCTTATCAAGCGATATGACAAATGTCTCAATGTACTTGGTACCTCTGTGGAAAAATAAAGGTATGTCATATCTTTAATGTCTCATTCTATTTTTTGACTTTCATACACAACTCTGACCACAGTCGACAGGGGAAACTTATTTTTCAACTTACCCTCGTAGATGATCTGAAAACCAGAATTTGTTAGGGAATAAATAGTGACACAACTTGAATTGTAGTACAAGGTGGATATGCCTGACATACATGATAACCTCAAATTTGGGACCATTTGAAAATATAGGTGTGTGGATAAAACAAAAATAATGGCAGAAATATTTTGGCTTCTTTCATCCAAGAGTGAAAAAATATGTTATTTCATATTTGTACATTCTGTTTAGAGCTAATGGCTGCTGAATTTTTACACTTGCATAGTTTTCTATCTAATATAAGCAGTAATATTTTTGGTGGTGAAAACTGCATATTTTAAATCAATTTTCTTTTAAAAAATAGTTTATTACAAAATACGAAGATTGCGTCAGAGCAATGCATAAAAATGCCACTAACAAGGTAGTTTTTTAACAAAATTCAGATCTAAAGACAGTAAAAGGGCTTATGCACTTCAATGAGTATACAGGAAATTTAAAATATTTCCTTTCTAGAGTTGGTGAATGCTTTATGTTCTGAAACTTTAAGGGCATGTTCCCTTTATATTGATTGCGCTAGACAGAAATCAAAGATATTAGGAGTATAATTCAGACTAGGCTGATGGTACAAGATTTCATTTGTCTAATTGAAGATATCATGGATGCCTGTAAACACACTAAAAAAAAAAAAAGGATAGTGATTAATTGTGAACAGCAGTGAGATGCTAGAATTTTCAAGGCTCGTAAAGCAACCACCCACTACCAAACTCTCCAGTCTAGCAAAACTTTGCTTCAATTTCGATATAGGACAAAGAATTCACCCAGGCCTTTTTTCAGTTTTCGAATCACATGCTTAAATGCAAATGGAATCGGACAATAAGGGTCTATGTCCACATTTTCTAAGAAACTAGGTAGAAAAATTTTTCATTCGTGCGAAGTACTGAAAATCATATAATGAAAACTGTTACTGCATAATTTTTAAACAATTTTGTGTTGCGACTCATTTGGTTAAGCATTGACAACTGACTTTTTGCAGTTACGTTGAAGTCTTATTAGTGTATAATCGAGAGCTCTCTGTCTTAGACATCATGATGAGGGTAATTGAAAATAACTTTAAATTGTTGAAATTAAATAACTATAAACATTAAGCTATGGAGAAATATTTCATTTACATACTGTTAATGAATGACTTGAAGGGCATAGGCCCTCAAACCAGAAGTGCATATTTAAGTAGAGATCTAATAGAATTGCATATATAATTGTTTCATGATTATTTTCAAAATTAGGAAAGCCATAAATTACAGAAAGTCATTAAGATAATTTAATTTAATAAATTAATTGCATTTATAATTAGTTTAATTACATTTGTAATAAAAGTAGTCCCTGTTAATGAAATTTTACAATTTTATTACAAATATAAAATCAAACAAGCTGTAGAAAAAAGAACAAACAAACAAGTTACAATGCTGTAGTGGGCATTAGAACTTATCCTTGCTTTCTCTAGGGTCTTCTTAGAGACTTTCTAAATTGTCTATTATTAGCTAATATGATGCAAATAAGACTGTATAGCATTTTCCCTTTGATCATTACTTCTTTGTTTACTGTGATGTTATAAAATGATGATTAACACTGTTTATATAAACTGTGCTATCTAAATTTTTGAGGGGAAAGCGAGATAACTTATGTTAGTAAATTAGAATTTAATAAATAATTTTTTCATTCTGCTGAAATTAAAATTTTTTTTTCTTGATTTTTTAAAATTTTGTTAGATAAATGAATAAAAATTTTTATTGAAAATGTTTTGTATGCAAAAGTGTGCAATAGTGCAAAAAGACTTCATGAATTTCTAGAATGGTAATTCAGGACGTTTTAATCAGTAATGCTCTTCATACACATTTCAACAATAATGTGTGTACTGTTCCAAGTTAAACATCTTAAATACTCTTTCAGAGCTTAAGTGCTTAATTTTATCCTTAGATAAAATTATAACTTATATTATCAACATTATATGTAGTAATAACTAATGTAATAATAACTAATTGTTAACATTATAATATATTGGGTTGTTCCATTTCATCTTTTGTGTCTTTTCTTTAAACCACTGAAATTTTTAAGTAATATTTCGAATGATTTTTATCTCTTCAGCTATTAATTGACTATGATGTAGTCTTTCAATTTTATCAATACATGAATGGAAGTTTTCTTACCAGGCAGCTGTTTATAAAAATATTTGAAACATGTAATATTTGATTATTAAATTATCAAAATCATATCAACCTTACTTTAATTGTTGCAATCAAATATACAGTGTTTTAATAACTTTTACTGATTTATGCCTTTCATTTGCAATAGTACATTCTGTGTTTATGAATTTATTATTAAGAGTAAAATATTATTCAGTTTCTATGTATAAGGTATCAAAAACAAGGTATAAGTAAAGTGTATAATTTAGGTGCAAATTTTGTTAATGTACTATGTGGAAATTTACATAATTGCAAGTTTGCAATATGTATTGCTATAAAAAAATTCTGTTGAAATATGAAAACTGGAAAAAATTTTATTGCAAATAACAAAAACAACAACAGAGCAACAAATGTGGAAACAGCCACTAATTTAAGCTTTCTGGTATGCATCAATCATTAAGAAAAATGAAAGATTAAAACCTAATTAATGTAGAAATATCATCGGTTACCTTCACAAAACTTAATGTGTAATTAATAAATGATATATAGGGACTATTAATACATTCTTTTATATTCAAATGAAAAATCTAATCTATTAAGATTTTTACATATTTTATATTTCATAAAACATATTAGATGTGATCATGATAGTAATTTCACATTCAAACATGAAAAATGTCAGACCATTGGAACATGACTCTAAAGTGTGCTATGTTACTTAATTTAACCTCAAAAAAGAATTTGAAAATATAGTTTCTCTTATAAATTTTAATACATATAAAAATAATATATTTATTTATAACTCAAATTTCACTTTGTCTGCGAGAATGAAAATTAGAGTAATACTTTCAAAAAGAAAAATAATGCATAGTAAAGGTGAAACAGAATACTATTGTCATTTTGTATCCTAGTGAAATTACATTTATAAATTAAATCAAAGATTTTTATAAAATATTTATTATTAATGTAATATAACACATTGTTATTCAGTTTTGAGCAAAACTTTTAAGATCTGTTCTTTGGTGCTGAGGGTTTCAAAGAAATTTATCTCTCTTTCTTCTTTCTTCTTTTCCTTTTTTTTTTTTTTTAAAGTACTAATATGATAGTACAATGTTTCTTTACTACAGAATCTTTATTAAAACTACAAATTTTATATAAATACTATTTCATTTATTTATTAGACCAGCTTAGATCCTCCATCAAGTAAAAGCGGCAAAGCAAGTGAAGAATTATATCAAAGTCAAGGTATATAATTTATTTGTATATATGTAAGATATATTTACTATGCTATATATGTAATTTTTCTAACCATTCCTTGCATTATAATAAGTACGAACCACTTTTTGTGAACCATTGTTTATTACTGTAGCTCAGTGCGCTAAACAGGGAAATAATATACAGCTGTGCAGACTGATTTTATATCTGAAATATGGATTTTTCCTGAATATTTGTTTACTCCGTTCACATTAATGGTTATCATATTTTTATGCCCTATTTTTTCTAAATCAAGTACCTCTTCACAAGTCATGTTTTTAAATTTTTAAAGTTCTTAATATCATTCATTAAAATTAGTTTTTTAGAATTTAATTTTTAACATTTTTACGAACCTTTACTAATCAGACACTTTTGTTGTGAATAATGATTTGTTAATGTTTGTTTTCTTTATTCATTTTATGTGGTTATTCAAATTCTTATTAGCAGCATTATAATATGGTGAACTGTGTAATTAATTTTAAATTGATTTTCCTGATAGATAACATAATTTTTAGAACTATTGAAGATTTATATACACTACTTCTTCTAAAGGTAAAAGGCTAAACATCTTAATTATTTGGTTCCTCACCCACCAAAAAAAGAAGGAAAAAGATTTATATCGATACAACTTTAAAAAGGAAAACCCAGACACAAGTGCAATGAAAATTTGTCAAAATTAATTTCTTCTTAATTCATTACAATTTAAATTTTTTAACTGTTTTTCTGTTTATGTAGATTATTTATTTTATAACATTATTTATTATTAGTAAATAGTTTTTATTAATAAAATTTTCATGCCCATGTTATAAACAAGAATTTTTATTGCTGCAGTAGCTGTTTCAAATTTTGAAATTCATACTACAAACTTTTTTTCAAACCAAAGTGAGAATTAACCAGCTCATCTCTTGTCATCAGCTCTTGTTAATCAGCTCACCTCTTGTTGACTTCCATCTTTTAATCATTGTTAATACATTGCACATTGTCCAATTAATTGATATTATAAAAATTAGAAGATAAGAAGAGTCAGAAGATAATTCAGTAGGTGAAATGTATAAGTATCTTTTTAAATGTGAATGCTTAAATCTTCATTTCTGTCTTGCTACCAGAAGGTGTACCTATTTAAAATGTTTATTGTTTACTTTTACTGATGTCCTTCTGTCTTACTGAAACATTTTTTAAATTTTTATAATAGTAAAAAAGTGTTAAGGAATATCTACTGGGTGATAACTATTTATGCTTTTTTTAATTTGCATCTGTAATAATAGATTTATTTTTTGATTAGCTCCTAACAGTCACAGCCTTACATCTGGCTCCTCTAATCAAGAAGAGTTGTTACGAGCATATGAATATGCTCGACGACATCCTCCTCCTCCTATTCAGTATGATGGTGGCCACAACAGAGGGCACAGTCACACGAGTGGCACAGGTACAACAGAGTCAGAAGCAACTGATCCTGGTATTCGTCAGTTTAGTGGTACTCCTCCCAAACCAAATGAACGGCGTCAAGGAGCATGCCTTACCCCTGGGACACAAAGTAAATAAAGCCATATTTATTGCTAAAAATCATATTTTTAGTAGCAAAAATGAGATATATTTTAAAAAATAGCATTTCTTTAACAAAGTAGATTAACTTAACTAGGAAACAAAATACCTGTTCCTCCACTTCTCCCAAAAAAGAAACACGTTTATATCCATAAGCATTTAAAAAGGAAAATTCAGACACAAGTATGATGAAAATTTGTCAAAACTATTTTCTTCTTAATTCATTAAAATTTAAATTAGTTTTTAACTGTGCTTCTATTTATATATATTATTTATTTCATAATATTATGTATTAATAAATTAATAAACAATTTTTAATCATAAAATTTACATGGCCATGTTATAAACAGGAATTTTGATTGCTGCATTAGCTGTTGGAAATTTCACACGTTCATGCTGTACCAAACCTTTTTTTTAAACCAAATGAGAATTAAGAACGAAAGATTTTGGTGTAGTTTTGACAAGTAGTTCTAAAATGCTATAAGAAAGAAATATCCAAAGAACTTAAATTCTGTATCTAGAATTGCTATTAAAATTCTGCAAGTAAAAGCACAGTGAATTGCACAATAGTACATCACTCTTGAAATTGATGATAACTTAAGCAGAGTGACTGCAAAAGTGAAATTGGGGAGGGGTATCTTTTAAGATTTTCCAATTAAATTTAAAATGTATCCTAGGGAAAGAAAACTATTTTTTGTTTGCTTGTATTAGATTTTTACTTTTCTTTAAAATAACTCAAAACTCAATTCTATTTCAGTTATATAAATTATTTTAGATTTCCAAAAATTGAAATATCATTGACTTTTCATTTGTTTAAACCATGGAATGAAGTCATGGAACTTAAATATGAGAATTTTCTTCATCTTCTCATTCTGAACTGAATTTAAAGGTTAATTTTTAGCAACAATTCTTGTTATATAGCATGCTTTAACAAAACCAGCAGCTGCTTCTGTTGGCTTTTAATAAACATGCAGTATTTCTGCTTTTTATTTTAATGTACATGTTATCTTTTCTTACCTAACATTTTAAACATTTTTTATGCAAAATTGGTGGCAAAGTCCTTTATGAAGTGAGACCAAGTATTAAAAGTAAAAATAAAATTTAATCAGATAATGATCTTAACAGTTAGAAAAACAAATCAGAATTATTCTTAAACCTTGAAATTTGCAATGTTAAGCTTGCTTCCAAACTCATGTGATTTGCTACATTCCAATTAAGACAGTGAAAAATAAAAATATGAATATCTAACGCTTAGAAATTCCAGCTTTGAAAACTAGATTTCATTCTTTAAAATGTTTAGGATACTTTATGAGTAAGAGAATAAGGGAATTCACCTGCATTGTCTTATGTCTTTTCTCAACCTGTTAATTGAGTAGGTTTGGAAAAAATAGTTTTGTTACATTGGGGGAAGGAACTTAGCTTTTTAGAATACATCAATATTCAAAGAAGGTATTTTAACTGAAGCAAGAAAACCTTAAATTTAAATGTGAGATAGCATAAATTTATATTGAGCCCATAGTAGCAATGTTATAATTGTAACATTATCTCTATTTTACTGTATTAGAAAAAATCTATTTATTTCTATGTTCTTCATATCGGGAAAAGATGGGCACAGAACCACTAAATTTTTCCTACACATATACTTCCGTCCAAACTTCTGCATCCAAAGCCCGGATTTTTAGTTTTGATTTTTGTTTTTTCATTTGTTTCTTATTTTGTGCAAGTTTAAAGAACTTTTGATTAAAAGCTCAATGATATGAAAGGCATAAGATATTTATGTTTCAAATTCAATCAGAAAATGGTATAAAAGAAGTCTGTTGTTACTCAGAAAAGTGCAATATATTTGTCTTTTGAATTCAGTCAACAAATTATGCAGTTTAAGAGAAATGTGTTACCATTGGCCAAATTTAAATATTTTTATCTATCATGTGGCAATGTGTTAGCATTCAACAAAGCATTAGATAATAATTCATTTTTTTTTTCAAATTTATTCTGTTGTTAATTAACAAACTAAGTAATTTAAAACTAATAAATGCAAATTTGTTACAATTATTAATTACTAGGTGGGACTATGAAATTAGATTAGCTGGATTTATTAAAATCATGATTTTTTTTATTTAAATGTAACTATTTTAGATAGCTGGCTGTGTAAGCAGCTAGTTTAGTAAAAGTACAAGCTAAACTTGACACAGAGAACAGAGTTCTGCTTGAGTAATAATGAAGAAAATGGAGGGAGTTTCATGATTTATTACTTGAGATAGTTTGGTATTTTTACAAAGTGGTATGATAAATGAAGTAACTTGTTATCAAGATGATAGCCTAAAAAAATTTGATAACATAATTCAGTACAGTAGAATCTTGAATCACAAATACTTCTTTTCATAAACAAATTATCTGAACAAAAAATGTCTTAAGTTACGAACACCTAAGTCAGCAACAAATGATTTTCAGAGATGTTTTGAGGTAACCTCTAACATAGAATTTACATTTAAGGATTACAAATGTAAATTCTATATTAAATTCCATATAATTCTGTAAACATCATTTTAACCCTTTGAGGAATAGTGAGATGCCAGGCATCCCACCTTTTTATCAGTTTTATCTCTCAGATGAAAACTGCAAAATTCCGTTTAAAAGGCATGCAATTGCGCCTTTTAGTTTTCTAAATGTACTGCAGATGGCAGCACTAGTATTCATTCAGGGAAGTAATGTAGAAAATGCAGTTTTTCCCTTAATTTCTTATGCAATTTAAATCATCTGAGCAACAACTTTTAGTATTAGAATGAATATTTTTATTTGAAAGTTTCTTTTTCCAATAAAAATTATTATTTGAATTCATATATGTTAATTAAAATGGTTGAAATTAAAAGGTGGGACAAATACGTCCCACCGCACATGTAGCAAATGCTGCTACTAGGTGGCAGCACTGTTCAAAATTTATTTTAATTAAAGTATGTTCATTTCATATATACAGAGGCGTAGCTAGGGTTATCAGTGCCCGGAGACAAGTGAAGATTTCACGACCTCTCCCGTCTGCTAAAATGCAATGGGGAACGAAAAGAAATCTTTAAAAATAATAACATTTTAATTGTTTAAAATAATAATAATTTGCTAAAAATATGAAATATTTTTAAATTTTAAATATTTTAATTTTTTTAAAAGCACTTTTAAGCGTATATTTTAAGGTTTCGCTCTAAAGTTCACTAACTTAGAACGTAGTAGTAAAATAATTAAGATAATAATGGTAATTCAAAAATGTGATTATTCTAAAATATTATTCAAATATAAATTCCGAAAACTTAAACATCATATTGGATATAATAATATAATAACTTGAAAATGTATAATGACAGTTTAATGTATAATGCTTCAAATGTAATCACTAATTTCAAAGAGAAATTTTCCTAGCTTTAGCTGCTGCAAATTTATCGATTAGTTCATCAAAATTTATACTCTGGGCAACCTGCTGTTCCACACTGAGCAAAGCTAAGGCAGACAATCTTTCCTGTGCCATGGATAATCTCAGGTAGGACAAGATAAGTTTTAGTTTACTGAAAGATCTTTCACAGCTGGCGATGGAGGTTCCAATAGTCAGTAAAATCTAACGACCAACTCTCAGATTGGAAAATACATCTTCTCCGTACTGTACAATAAAGCGAAGCAGGTCCTCTGGCGTCGAAAGCTTAACATTAGCTCTTATCTTGAGTAGCATTTGGCAGTCCATTATTTCAGCATACATCTCCAAGCCATCCAAGTCTGCATCGTAAACGTTTTCCATAGAAATGCAGCACTGTTTCAATCTACTTTCGTTGCCTCTAGCCATTAGTCCGTTTATATATAAAAGAAAGCCAAATTTAGAGTCTACTTTCTTTAAGTTGATGAATCTATCTACCATTTCTATGTGTATTTTGTCCAGTATACTTTTCACCAATCGCAGCATTTCATTTTCTGCTGTGAGTCCTACATCTTCTGCAATTTCTCCAGGTATTTTCTTCTTCTTCTTCTGTCGTCTTTCAGCTTGGACATCACAAGCATTACACAGTTCCTTGGCGTCTCCAAGAGATTTCATGCATATCTCATCTCTGTTTTGTAGGAGATACTCTTGTAAAGCCTGAATATCTCGAGCAGCATTGTGGAAATTCATAGTGGGGTCTTGAAGCCTTTTCTGAACCCTGTCAATCTAGGCAAGTACTGTATTCCAGAATCGAAGAAGAACAAAAAACTCAAAAGTTAAGATCCGATGCAACAATTGAATTGCATCACTTCTTGTATCTGCATTTTCATCATGATCCTCTGCAATATTTTCAAATAATTCTACTAAGGTTTCGAGTTGATCATGTACCAGTTTAACAGCTTCTACTCTGGCACTCCAACGAGTTTCTGACTCCGACTTCAACGATACACCTAGAGCAGTTTTCAGTCTATTCCATCGGAAAGTTGATCTTGAAAAATAAACATAGATAGCTTGTTTGATACTAAAAAGCGTCACAGAAGTTACCTCATGACTAGCAGCATGAACTCCAAGTATATGTTTATCACAGTTAACAAATATAGCTTTTGGGTTAAGTGCTGTGAGTCTTTGTTGCAACTCCTGACTTGTAGCCGGATATTACAGGCGCATTGTTATAACACTGTGATCGACAGTCTTTGAAAGCTAATTTTTCTTTTTCTAGTTGTTGTAATATTATACCTGCAATACTTGCTGCATCTTTTTTACGTGTTTGAATGAATCCTAGGAAACTTTCTTTTACAACAACAATTTTTTCCTCAAAGTCAATATCTACATATCTAATAGTTTCCGACATTTGCTCCTGATTAACAGCGTCAGGAGTTGAATCAAACAGTATACCATAGTATTTGGCCCGTTGGATATCACACACAAGTGTTTCTCTAACTGCAGCTGCTAGAAACTGGATAAATTCATTTTGCATTTCTTGCGAAAGGTATGTAGTTGATCCTGGATTTTGCTGCACATACGAAAGGTGGCCCTTC